GGCTCATCACTTATCAGACTGCACGCGGAAATACCACTTAACGCCTGTCTTCTGTTTGTTCGTGGTATTGTTCCTGGCAAGCCAATCCAACTCTGCAAAGATATTAAAGCAGGCTCTACCACTGAGTGCTCTGTGAGTGCAATTTTTCTATCAAAGCAGTACAAAAGTTACTTAATATTCATTAACATAGTTATTGCACACCCGTATTAGTAGCAGACGCATTGAGACGGAACCGGCTCTCACGTATATCGATTACTTCAATGAAAAACCAGCGTTAACACATCCAAACAATTGAAAATTATAACCAGACTAATTTAAATACCGTTGACTGACTATCAATATCTATAGGATTTAACGTAGTTAGAATTTGGTACCAGTGTAGTGCTATCCAAACTTTATAGAAGCTCGGTATATTATATCGCACATGCGCAAACTACAAGCGGCCACAAATTTTGAATCTCATTATACTTCTATAACGCGTTTTGATTATTTCACAGCTATAAGGGCTTAGATGTGAAATCGGTGGAGTCATTTTATAGGTCACAGTTTGATGGACGAGCACGGTGTATGGTTAATTTATTTAAAATAATGTAAGAGCCGGGTGTATTCGGCCCGCGTCGGCCAGTTTCACTGGACCCCACAACCGCTTTCCACTTTCGATTGCGGGAAATGCAATGCGCACAACGAATATGTAAGATAGGTTAACATTTTGTTATACAATGTCAATTTTACACCATAATGAGACATATTCAAAGGCAATTTACTGAGCCGATTACTGAAACGAAACTCAATCTGATAGATGTCCAAATTTTTATTCAATTTAAAGTTTAAGACGTGATTTCAAATTTAAATATCGTCTCAATATCATAAAATAATTACATGCATCTTATAGAAAATAATCGATTACATTCTTTGTAAAACAGTTAAGTATAGATTTTTACTTTAGAAGATGCAATAAAAAATTGAAAAGTGAAAATTCAACAAGAAAAAAGCAGTTCTTTTTCTTTACTTACCGCCGATGTACGCAGTTATATTGACTACTAATAGTTAAGTAAAAGATGAAGTAACTTAAAGTGCAATTAATGTATCAAGTGACAACTTTCTTTCAAAATGTTAGCTTACGTAAACAGTTTCCTTGTTACGTGTCGATAAGTAACACTTAGCGATAACTTGAGTGTTACTTAATGACTTACCCGTCGTCTACTTATCGACAAGATAAATTGATTCAATAAACTTTATTACAATAATAATTTAGTTAGTAACATCGACATTTTATTAAATAAAAGTGTTTATTGAACGATTTTTCATAAAAAGGCGTATCGCAGATATATTTCAATCATTGTAAATTTATTTTTTCAAACCTGAAAATACTATTTCAGTAAGTGCTAGTATTTATCTATACTTCTGTACTAATATTATAAAGAGAAAAGATTTGTATTTTTGGATTTTGTTTGATTTGATTCACGCAGAAACTATTGGGCCGATTTTAAGAAAGGTAATTTAAGTGTGATTACCATCTGCTGTATTTTTTATTACTTTTTTATTTCACACGGCCAAAGTCGCGAGCAATAGCTAGTTAGTGATATAGTTGATGATAGTTTTACTGCTATTTAAGTTTAATTTATTGTTATTTTTAAGTATTCAGTATTAGTAACACTAGAATGGGATGCTAGGATATAGTTTAAAATAGTGGAATGGCGGAATGCGAACCCGACCTACCATTAGGCTATTGGCGCTTCAATGCGTGCATAATCTTTGCCTATAGTTTTATCCACACTTTCTTATCTAATACCTATTAAAATTTTATTAAATTAACGTAAAAAAAAGTTATTTTAAAAGCGTTTCTATCCATTCAACGCGGTTTAATTAACTAAATTAGATCAATTACGAACACTTTCCCAAGGCGAGATGAAACATGGCGTAGTGCGAATTGAGAGCAAATTAACTACCGAGATATACAATTAGCTATAGAGATTTTTGAAAGTTGAAGCCGTTTTTCAGTTCAAAGGTACAGGTGTCAGAGACGCAAAGTTGTAGGGTTACCAATTAGACATGGTAAACGAGCGACCACATGAAGCGACCTTTTGCAATTTGTAAGTTGGAAGCAAAGTTGTGTCTATCTATAATGGGCAGAGGAGAAAATGTCCACAAACTCAACACCTCTTTCTATCCTATTTAGATAAATAAGAAGTAGAAGAGGACTAGAATTTAGGCTCCAATACAATCATCAAACAAAACATAACATAACAGACAGGGACTTCGCCCATCTTCTGCATTTATGGTATCACTTGGAGCGGTCAATTCTACAGACTATCAATGCATTATGTACAATCTTTTATTCTCTTTTTCAATCGCCAGAATTTATAATTTTACTTATTAGTTTTCGCCTGCGACTTCGTTTGCGTAATAAAAACAACAAAAGTAAGTCACCTATGCTTTCTTTCAGGCTATCTTCTGTGTCTATTCCAAATTTCATCGTGATTCCTTAAGCAGTTTAGGCTACAAACTCTAACAAACTTTCACATTCATAACATTAGTAAGATTTCCATACATTATTTTTTAAATTACCACATGGTAACTACTTTCCGCTGCAGCTGTTCCGTGCGAGTGTCGCAATTTCTACGACCGCGCCCGTAACCCGAGCTTCCGAGAAAAAAAGAACCCGGTTTCATATGCAAAGGTCGAAAGACATTTGCACTGAAATAAAGTAACATTTTTACTAAATAAAGGAGTTTAAATTAAGTTATCACATAACAAGAATATTTTCTGAACGACTATACTATTACAACATACATCAAACACAACAATACAACAATTTTTTGATACAACAATTTTTGGTTTCGATCAATACAATTTTGTTGCCAAGTTGACGGGATGTCTGCGTAACTTGGAACTGAAAGGTGTTAAAACTATGTTAAAACTGAAGTGGCAAATGTTCTGTGCTTTTTAATGTTAAATATCGAGATTAATTTTTTTAAATTCGTGTAAAAAATTCAGAGAAATAGAAAGTCATTAGAAGGAAACTGGGTCAAGTTTCGTATCACGTTAAAATTGGTAACATTTCGTTTGTGTTAAAAAAATTGTTTCCTTATTTATTTACGTTAATGTTGTAAAAATAATACTCTACATCAGTACATAGGTCATTATATAGGTCGTTATATAGGTTTTCGTAATAATAATTAGATGGAGCGTTAAAGAGTACACGTATCATGTATTTGACAGAGGTTGGGACGTATAGGAAGGGAAAATATCTTCTTTCTGTGCGTTCCCTACTCCGTAAATCAAAGATAGGCAAGGCATCTTTTGCGGATGTAAATGGGCAGCGGCGAATTCAGGTTTCAATTTAAATTCAAAAAAACTTTCAATTTAAAAAAAAAACGACTACTAAAATGATGGCCTTTAAAGCCTACTTACTCATTTATAACAACAGCCTCATAGCTTATAGAATTTTAACTAGATATGAACTTGTCGCTAACCCAAAGTAAAGTGGATATTTAAATATATTAGATATTGGTAAATAAATTTTACCACGAGGAGAAATTGGATATGTGGATAATTTAATTATATTTTATAATTAAGATTTAACTGTGAAATAAAACACTATAAAAATGTTGAGTAGATTATGTAGTGTTTGTTTACGATTTATGCAGACTTATAGTAACATGAACAACATACCAAAATAAATGTTTCGTTTTAGTAAATAAAAATAATTCATTACAATCAATAATGTAACAGAAGAAATAGTAGACAGTATTTTGTAATATAATTAGATACATGAATATACACACCTTCAAAGCAGGGGGTAAATCTGTCCACTAGAATGAGGAAAATCCATTTCTGTCACTCATTAGGCATTCCGTAAACCACAAACACTTAATTTAATTATTTATAATAAATACAACGAGGAATTACTCCAGTTGTATTTCTCAATATTATTGTATACAATAGCACGTAATACGGGAAGTCCAACACTGCGAAATGGTAGACACTCCTTCAAAATAAACTTGAAATAAAGCGGCGATTAACGACAGAAAAATAATCGCATTAAATTAGAAATGATTACACATATCACTCAACTCAATTCTCACGAATGTTTCTTTTATTCTTCACACGATTTATGCGTGAATCGCATAAACAAATTATTATTGACAGATCTTACTATCACTTTAACCAACCAACTTCTGCGGAAGTCAACAACCGTTTGACAGATTGTAGTAGCCTTGGCCTATGGACGCGACGCCATTTTTGAAATGTTGCCCTTTATATATGTTCGATTTTCCCAAATTACATTTTTAATCTCTAGTTATTTTTATGAATATCTATAAAATAAAAGAACATCTAAAGTTTACGACTATAGTAAGAAAAAAAATAATAGCATGTAATACACGTAGCGCCATCTTTTTGGGAGTAGTAGCTCATGGTGAAGTGTTGATTTTGTATCTTAATACATGTATAGATGGCGTTGATTTAGGAACATAGTAATTAACCAGTCTGACCTTAGAAGTTGTTTTAAATGATTTTGTTTTTTGTTTTTTAACACAAAACATTAAAACACAGTACTGTAATAGTAACACACTACACTTTAATAATTTGCATAACAAGCATAATCAAGGTTATTATTTAGTATCTTTAGGTCATTTTTATTTAGTATTGTTTTATTTATATTTCTGCAATAATCTTACATAGTGTAATAGTTAAGTTGGTAAAGTAAAGAAAAGGCATTTTTACTTCAGAAGCATTTATTTAAAAATTAATATGACAACATCTGAAACAACAACTCAAAATCCAGAATAATTTAGCACTTAATAACTTCGACTTTCCTATAGGTACTAATGAGGTAGTCGTAACTAATTAAATTATATAAATTATCTTTAACTTAATATCACAATCTTTAAAGCGTAAAAGAAAATAATCCATTTTAATGACAATAAATAACTTAAAATATTTAAGGAGATCAATACATTTAAAAAATGGCAATACTGGAATGTAAAAGTCGCAGATTAATTAATGACCAGAGCCATCAGCTTCGAGGATTTAGTGTCTTCTTCCACTCCGGGAAATGCAAAACCCTTTTTTGCCAGTTCTTCATAAGTTATTTCGAACAAATCAGCAAAGCCCGCCTTCTTAGCAACAGCTTGAGAAGCGGCTGCAGTAAACACCGTGGCTGTTACTTTGATACCTAGCGCCTTGCACAGGGGGACCCTAGGGATAAGCAATGTTTATTAAAATTATAGAAAAAAACAAAGAAGTCAATAAACTTCATTCTAAAGTAGTCTGTAAACCTAAAAAATAAACAGAAATACAGGCTAAGATGTGTGATGAAATAAAAAATAGTACAAGCATAACATTAATTAATTTTATTCAATATATTAAATAAAACATCCAAAATGCTAGTAGAGCATTTACATATATTTGGTAAATATTTTCCCTCTCTTTTCTGGCAACACATTTCTCTGGATATGGTAGATCGGCTGCGCGTATCCATATTCTAATTCACAATAATAAAAATGTTTACTTCTATCAGCAGGATTAGGATAATACGCCGCGTAAAATACTTCATCAACTTCGTAAATTTTCACATCAAATGTGCTTTGATCTAGTACCCCACTCATTAGCATCCTTTGTATAATTTCGCAACTTGTATGTTTTAATTCGTTACCCCAAATATTCAAATATCTCAAGAAAACTTTCTTTTTAATAGTATACAATAAATCCATAACTCCGTCATTCGATATTTTATTCTGTGAAATATCTAACGCTCTTATATTTGAATATGGCAACCCGTAACTCAACGCTTTCGCGCCAATATCATGAATTCCGTTACCAGCTATATTTAAAAATATTAACTGAGGCGCTTCTGATAAGTATTTAGCTAATAATTCCGCACCATAGTCACCTATTCTGTTATATCCAAGGTTTAAATAGCGAAGTGTCGCATTATTTCTCAGACCTCTAACAAAGTACTCCATATCATGCGCTATAAATTGATTTTTCTGCAAATGTAATTCTATTACATTAGAATTTCTTTCAAGTAAAAATTCAATATGATAAGCCAGCCATTTTGTTTCGTATGAATAACGGTTAAATAACGGATTAACCCTGCTTAAATCCAAAACTTTCACAGTCGTATTTCCTTCGTTATCATTTCTAAAGGCCGCTATAATTTCCGCCACACTGGTCAACGTCTGTCCAGTTTCCCCTAAATCTAGGAACTCGATTGTATCATTTTCTTTCAAAAGTTGTGCAAGAAATTTACCACTGTCCGTACCCAAATCGTTGCCATTTATTCTTAATCTTTTTAATTTAATATACTTCGCGTACTGAGCTAAATATTCGATTGATTTATAGGTTATGTTGTTGTTCATAATATTTAAGTCTATAATACTCGATCTGCCTTTGATTAGTAAACGTTTTAGTAAATTAAAGAAGCCTCGATCAGTGAGTTGGTTGTAGCATAGATCGACCTTGGTTATTCTTCTGGGAATTTCTCTGATGTAAAGGTAAATAGCTGTTATATCTAAATCCTTTATTCTTCTTTTATATCTGTCGTGTAAATCCTTTCCTCTAAGTATTAAATACCCAGTACCGTCAGAATTCCTTTCCGTGAACAAGTTCAAACGTATTTTATTAACTTCTCCGATCGGCAATGGCGGTGGCTCGCCAGTTATCTTTTTTAAAAGCTCTTCTTTATTGCAAATGCATTTCTTTTTTTGAACCGTCGTATTCGTAACCATAGCTAGAATTTACATGTAAACCTATAAATTAAAATGTATAATTTGTATAAATTGACAGTTGATACGTTGTTGTGTCAATATTTTTTTGACATATAGAAGCCATAGAGATTAATAAATCATAAACAAACCTATAAGGATTATAATAGCGATATATTTTAGAAAAATCATTATCCAAGTTTAAAAAATGTAACCCGCACAAACAAAACATTTTTTGTAAACAGTTTTAATACGCGAACGCTATTAAAAGTTTGTCTCCTACAAAGGGATTTTGAATCCTCTTGTGGCTGTCGACTGAAAAGTACCGTGAAGAAAGGTAACAAAAGTACCTCCATATAGCGCGAAAATTACTCCTTATAAATCGAACTGAACTAAAATTGAAATTCCAAACAGTTTTTAAAATAAGAACCTGCTATAATGTGATTTATGGCCCTGCCCAGTTGTACGTTGATTCTTATAACGCGAACTATAACGTGGAATCATCAACAATGTAACAATGTTATAGAATCGTTTACTGTATGTGGGGGGACACTGGTAATTATTTTTATTTTTAAGTTATTTAATATTTTTAAGTTTCACGCGGGCGAAGTCGCGAGCAACAGCTAGTAGAAGTTTAAAGTAATAAATTAAATAAAGGTCCTCTGAAATGAGTGAGAATAAATTTAATTATGCCAGATAGTTATGGAGTTATTTCTATGAAGATTCATATGATATCGACCCCTTAGTCACGCTAGATGGCGGTATTCAATAAGCGCGGGACACGTCGGCGGGAATCCGAGGAATTCTTACCGACCGACGATAAATTCCTCATTTCTCTCGCGTTTATTAAATGTCGAAAATGAAAATACCGATGCTAATGTACCAACGATTAAATGATATCAACGAATATAATATGATATCAACGATTAAATATAGATTAAGCGATTTTTATACCTGTTACCAACAATATGTTAATGAATGCAATAATTGGAGACCTTTAAAGATATCCGTAGTAGACTTATGGTAAAATAACCAATAATTGACGTGTGCGACATCCAAATTATTAAAGTCATCAAAATGCAAAAAAACTTCATGTCAAAAGTTTATTATAAGAATTTTAAATTAAGAAAATTTTACCTTTTTTGAGGATCGTTTAGATTTTATTGAAAAGATACTTTTATTTTTGTGATCGCTTGCTTATATCCCTTTTCCAAGTCTCTATAGAGCGCGCACGCCTTTGACTAAGCTTTCGCACAATTATTTAATTTTGATTTCTATGAGCTTATATGGAGCAACAATTGAATTGGTTGCAAAACAATCGACAATCGCACAACAGTTATGCGATAGTTTAGTCAAATCGCGCTCATCTTATCGATATGATATGAAATCTTCTGTGTTAATCATAATTACCTCGCTTTCAATATCTCCTTGCCTATATGACAGCCTCTCCATTCGGGAGCCACGACCAGCCCGTAGGCGGTCAGGTATGAATCCACGCCGTAGTGTTCAAATATGTCCACACTCCGGCCCACCAGCTCCACAGCGCCGAACAACTTCGCCCAGATCTTATCGTCCGTCTGGAAAATACCACCTCATAGAATTCCATGATAATTGACAACAAAAACTAATAATATAAAGGTGAAAGATTTGTATTTTTGTATGTATTGAAATGACTCAAAAACTACTGGGCCGATATAAAAAATTCTTTCACCATTAGAAAGCTAAGGTATTATTTATAAATTTCGAACAACGTCGCATGCAACAGCCAGTTTAAGATACTTTTGTTTTGCTGACTTTGGCTGTTGCAAAAATTTGTTGTTACCTTGATGGGCTCATCCTTGTCGTCCTTGCAGACAACAGTGAGGACATTGACCCCCACTAGTACAGAGGATCCGTCGTCTTTGTCCTCCACGCACACCACTGACAATCTATCCTTCATCGTCTTCCTCCATAGAGCCTGCAACTCCGCTACTGCTGTGGGGTAGTTGTTAATACCTGGAAGGATAGTTCTGTTTTAATACTGTAAGGTATTTCGTTGTGTGTCACAATGTGTGGGATTTTGCACCCTTTTTAGGACCGCGGTATCATGAATGCAAGTTGCCCTAATGAGCGTCGAACTTCGAAAGAAGATGATACTTTTTATAAACCTAGTATCCTAGTTCAGGATCAGTCCTTTATGTACTTACCTATATACTTGCATGGTGGTTCATCTGCGGTAAAATGCTTGGAAAGTAGAGCTAGTGCGGCATCATGCTTTTCTTCGGTGAGGTCCTGCACACGCAGGCTGGCGGTGGTGCCGTGCCGGCGGATGGTGAAGCGATGCCACACATTGGGGTAGGGTACGGACGAAGGACGAGTGTATACCATGGTCTAAAGGAAAGTGTTTACATTGACCAATGATATGCAAAGCGGTTCAGGTGTCTTAAGGTCTACAGAAGACCCGGACGTGTTACTCGATAAAGAGAATATTTAAAAAAAAACTATTAAATTTCTAGCACACCAAAAATAAATTTAAAGAAAGTCAAAGCAACTCTACAACTAAGTATTTCACTTACCACTAAGATTCAAACCTGAGATGTATGCTAACTGCCACTGGGTTCCGGACACCCGACAAATTGGCGATCAACCCCGCGACTGTGCCCGAAGGCGACCTGACGACGTCTTTGGGGTAAGTGTAAGTTCGTGGCACACTGATAGATTGATTAAGTTTAACACTGCCCGTCTCATTCTGCTATCGTACTTCATATTTTTCTAACAATCGTTTTATTTCATTTAACAAATAGAAATAAAGCCTGTTGCATAAATTAACAGTACAAAAAGCATTTTAAACCCAATTAAACTAGATCTTATTATCAAACGTGTACAAAAGCAAAAGAAAAAACTTTCAAACACGAATATTGTTATAGAATTTTCCGCTCGGTGTACAACGTACCTTACAAAATGCCGTCATAAGCTAATTTAATCCCTTAAACCGTATTTAAATTCGTATTGCCTTCTATGATTATATCGTTATGTCGTGTCGAAGGGAATTCGGATCGGGTGAATATTGGAGGCTTAAGCACTTTATTGCATTTAAATTTACTTATATTACACGTCGTCACATCCATTTTCCCTACGTTGGGAACAAAATATGCCAGTAATCATAATTCCTTCATACATCTCTATGAGCTTTGATATTTTAATTAAAAAAAATGGATACGTACCGCATATTAGGCATAGGGAATGGCATCCTGCATTGGATTGGACTGACACAATTTTACTATGGTGATGATATCAAAAAGGTATAAACTCGGATATATTTTGAGTTTGAGTAAGATTGGATTATATTTATCGAGATATGTTTGTTAATAGAATCACCATTGCACAAATATCAAATGGAAATGGTTTGTGTTATCATTGTTTCTCGTCTCGCAATGAGATCAATCATCGGTTCAGTCGTCAGCCACATCTTTGTTCCCGCAGGTGTACACAAAGTGCGCTTCGTGTACCTCACGTGCGTTTTATTGTGTAAGGTAAACGCCCTCATTATTGACATGATAAACTTGTATGGAAAAAGTTTGAAGTTTCAACCAATTACTCGCACTTCTACTACAGTACAAAGATTCCTTTTTACATTATAATTTTATGAAATAAATTCTTTGTGATGAAATATTTCTTCTATTCCCTCTTTTTTTAAACGAAAAAATATATATATAATCCATATTTTAATAAATCATGGTTATACCCCTAAATAAAACAAAATCATCACTACCAGAATTTAACTAATATCATTATTTTACCTGTATCTAAGACGGGTGCTTTTACCCTAAGATTCAACGCATGGTTTGTACTTCGTACTTGGCGAGGCGCCATCTTGGCTTTCCTCCAGCAGGTCTGTTATCCCGCCTCCGCTGAAAACAGTTCACTTGTGAATACAAAACTGAACACACGTATTATTATTGAAAAATATTATATTGATAAACATTACAAATATTATTTACAAATTACAAATCAATAAAGAAAGTTAAAGATTTGTTTAGTTGACGTTTTTTCGTTCAGCGCGGGAAAAACTATACTTTCGGTCGAATCGGGGGAAAGACAAAGGCTTTGTGAGGATTCATCCGAGTGGAATCACTTTGGACTTCTACTTTTGCTAAAATTAAAGGTAAGGTAATGTAATTAATTGCAGAAATATTAAATTAAGTAAACAGAATAAATAAATCAATCTCTTTTATTCAAATCAGTTCTTTTTTATATTTGTCATTCATATAAAATCATAATTTAAAAAAAAATAAAGAAAGATTCTAATTATTTGTGTCAAAGCTAAATAACTGTACCGTTTTAGTTGGAAGTTTTTTACTCGATAAAATATAGCATGTAGTCTTATGTTAGTTATTGTAATCGATGAATTAAAAATGACTGAAAATTTTGTAGTTACGAACAAATTTTAAAATGGATTTTCTTTCTTTTCAAATGTTTTTTTTGCGACAGTTTAAGTACCATAAAGATGTTCCCAGTTCCTTAATCTCGATATAAATTTGACGCCAAATAAATCTCTTTTGGAGGCCAATATCACAAAACAACGGCACTGCGTGGGTGTGTGTTTGTAAACCAGAGTGCGCATTGCTTTTCCATAATATGCGACGCTTTCAAAACGTTGACCTATTTAAAAATGTTTGTCATACAAAAGTAGTCCACATTTAAAAAAAAAATAAAAAAAAACAGCTTTGATCTCACTGAATCTAGAACAGATAATTAATATTTTGTAGTGAGAAAATTGATGAGCATTACTGAAAGATAAAAAAAATCAACTCAACGTAAACCAAAATAATGCGCCCAACGTGGGGCTCGAACCCACGACCCTGAGATTAAGAGTCTCATGCTCTACCGACTGAGCTAGCCGGGCTTACGCTAGGATAACAAAATAACTATTTCCTATAACGGAATAACCTCAAAACTTCAGTAACAAAACAGAGAAATTCATACTAAAAAAGTTCATTCAGACTCTTCGTTTACTTTTATTAGTTGTGTAATTTATTTTCCCTATTTAGAGTAGAATATTTACTGCAACTATTACCGATATTTAAACTTTCCGGCGGAAGTGTAATACCAAACTTCGTAGTTTATTTTAGTATTGTAACATATCAATTACACAAATATTCTACCTAATAAGTTTGTTGACTTAGAAATTAAAATATGGAATGAGCGTGCACTTTTTGATGAGTACATTTGAATTAATTTGTAAATATAAAAAAAGCAAAGTGCGTTTAAATTTCCTTTGTCATTCTGTGAAAACAGAAAAAGTAAAAATTTACTCCACGCTTTTCGATTTCAAGGTTAAGGGCAAAGAACTTTCTAGACGGCTATTTATATCCGCCATTTTGTTTTACTTTCCGACATCTTTGACGCATGTTCCAATTTAGAAGATATTTAAATAAAAAAAATTCAAGCCAAACTCTAAATGGTGACAAGATTTAAGAAAAGCGCAGAAGGCTCACATACACCACAATAAGTCATTGATTTTCATTTATTAAATTATAACCCCAACTAACCTCCAAAAAAACTTTTTTTTTAATTGCCAGTTTTCCTCAGATTGCAACAATTATTTTAATAATCTAGCATCTAAAGGTCGTAATGTTATTTCCACTTGGTAATACATGTTTAAAGCCGTATAGGCAATTTATTGGCAATGTTTGACATCACGGTTGCGTCAGAATCATCAAGGTCACGTTATATAGTGGGTATCCATGACAACACGTCAGAATTTGGCAAACCAAACAGACGCTATGTCGGCTAACTAAATTAAGATGTGACTACAATATTTGTCTTGGAAAATTATACATAAACAATAAGATGTCAATAGGAACAATACAAATCAACCATTGCTTGAACATCCCTCGAATTGTCCACGAAAAACTGAAATAACAATAACAAACAACAGTACATATTCACTGTAAAAATAAACCATTAAAACAAATGTGTATTTGAGTATTATTAGGAGCAAAGAATTATTAAAACGCAGTTCAAATCAAAACATGTTTGTAAATGTAAAAACCACGTGTTATTGTGTTCAAACAAACCCCATTATGGCGCCAAAAATAACCTTTCTTGCTGTTCATTGAATATCGAAAACAGCGCCTGAATCTTCTTGAACTTTAGACAGTAAACAAAATAATAATAACCGTAGAGTTTCTTTTTGACTGACGACTGAATGATTGGAAATATTCCAAAATTGAAATGTGGTTAAATCGGTTTCGGGGTTTCCTGTTATTAAAGAGATTTCCGAAAACGATTTCTTTGCATAAAAATTATGCACACATTTTAAATTGCGCAGAAAGTATTTTATGATTTTATAACCAATTGCGCAAGTTTTGCAAACTTTAAATTATTGTTCTTCGTTTAACTATAAAGCTTTGTACTTCTTACTTTTACTAATCATTATGCTTACACTCGTAAAATTCCTACTTTTTTATAAAACAGAAAACGAATACGTTAATGTACAAGAGTTTCGATTTAGACTGCGTAAATTCAATTAAAAACTTAATTAAGTTTGTCACTGGCAAGTTGAAAAAAAAACTACTGTCAAACAAAAATTAAAAAACCATACATGTCAGAACAAAAGACAATTTGCGTTTTAAAATTGAGGAAAAATTCTAAACCAGTGACATTACAATTACGAAGAAATTCCCTGACGTAAGCTTCTTTGGCGCGTATTGTTCCCGCTCTTTCGTGTTGGAAAAACGCCATCTTTGTTGATGGCAAAGGATAATGCGTGAACGCATGGACTTGTTTGTTTCCTTGTTTGTAAGTATTAAGATGAACAAAATCCAATATATAAATCGTATTTGAACATTTTTCTATAAAAAATTCATAATAAAAGACTTCTTCTTTATAAAAGACCTGATATTTAAATATATCCGTTAATCGCAAAAAGGGTTTTTGAGTTTAATAAAAACGTTTTAAAAATTTTGTGGTCTGCTAGTTAATATTTGAATGAAACGAATGACATAAAATTATGTCTTTCAACAATAAATTTGGCTTCATAAGGATGAAATAAGATTTTACAATCTTACTATCCTTATGTTTTACTTCGATAAATAATTTACTTCGATCGATGTACGTAACAGATTAGGCGAGGTGCCCGATGTAGATGTTAAACAGGGGTTTGTGTTTCGACATCAGACGTATTGCGTAGGATGGTTGTATTTAAATAGATAATATAATCTGTGTCCAATCACAACAAAACTTTACAAATAAAACGATCTTTTATTTCTCTTAAGAAATGTAATCATTTTATTTTGCAGTTAAAAGGAAAGAAAAGAACCCTTGGTTTAGATTTAACATGTAAAATCATACTAATATTATAAATGCGAAAGTTTAAATAAATGGATGGATGGATGTTTGTTAGAGTTTGTAGCCTAAACGGCTGAACGGGTTTCGTTGATGTTTGGTGTAGGTGTAGAGGATATTCTGGAAGAACACATAGGCTATTCACTTTTGTTTTTTTTTAATTCCCCGTGGACGTAGTCGCGGGCGAAAGCTAGTATACTCTTCTAATGGTCTCCTTAAGTACTTTCTTTCAAGCAGAAGGGATTCCGGCTTTCAGAAAGGAATTCAAATTTCGAACGGGCTTCGTTTTCGTATTTTGTTGTGATCTGGCGGGAAAACGTTTTGTTTTGTTTTAATTGTAGCGTCGTCATATGTTTACAAAACAGTCGCGTAGTCAACCTGCGATGCGAGACAGGCGCGCGTGGTGTCATACACGTGCAGGGCTATTTCTGTTTATTGCACTCAATATTCGATTCGATCACGACAGAAATTAAGTCAGCTGACTCTGATTTGTGGCGCGCCTCCTATCTTTGTTAGTGTGTTAATGCCCTAGGAGCCAACTCTGCGAATTTCAGTCTCACTTAGGCTTGTTAACCCCTTCCAATGGTGGTAAAAAAGAGGGGCGTTGTAGATATCGCCCTCTAGTGGTGCTAAAGCCGTTACGACTTAGCGTATTGGACTGGTTAGGTCTTAGTTATCCATGCTGTACCAGTGTGAATAAATGTGATGTAACTCTCTTTTTTTTACTTCTTTCACGATGTTTTCCTTTACCATGCTGTCAATTTATTATTGTTGTCTACAGCAAGATGCCGTCAGAGGTGATATCGGGGAAGTCGCTGCAGCGCGAACTGGCTGACTCCATCATCCGCATGGTGCCGTTGGACGAGATAAGAATACTGCTCGCCTGCGGAGCCAAGGTTAGGACACTTTAGATGGCATAACGAGATTCTGTATACATCCGAGGTTGCGGAAACCCAAAAAAAAAAAATTTAATATTAATTTGAAAGATTTAAAAAGTGCTTTAACAATGGCACGAACGACGCCAGCTAATGATTTCGAGTAGCATCTACCATAATATTAACATTTTTTAATACTTTATCGGGAGGCCAGCTGCACCTTTCTGCTTTCCTCTGGCGACGACGTACATGGATGGTCGTCATCAACTTTTCCTTATCCTAGGTCTTCCATACATTTCTATCAGTCGTCAAGCATATCCGCTTTGACACAAACCATCCATATTCTTTTCGGTCTTCTACCTTTGTAGCCATCCACATTAAATCTTAACACTTTCTGGTTTATATCCCCATCCTCTCGTCGCTCATCCATACCATGATGAAACTTATGAACAGTATTAGAAGTATGGATGACATATCTTTTTTTTTTATAACATAAGATGGGCCACCTAAATCCGCCAAAATGGCGAAGCGACCGCTGCCCATAGACATCCGCAATTGCAGATGCGTTGCCTACCCTTATCCGACAGAGGAGGAGACGCACATAAAGAGGATATTTGCCCTTCCTATGCATCTCCTCCTCCGTCAAATCCACTTCCTCTTCCCATCCTCTCCTTAAAAGAAGAGAAAGGGATTTAAATTAGGCCTCCGGCACCACACTCATCAGACGAAACACGGAATTGCTTCCATTTCATGCCTGTCTTCTGTGTGGTCGTGGTATTACACCGGGCGTGCCGGCCCTGCAGTGCTAAGATGTTATAGGGGGCACTACCACTGTAACTGTATCGATTGTTTCAGAGTTTCGTCTATTATACATTAAAAAGACCAAGGAGGTAATGGTTTGATTAACTTGGGTGATGTGTGGAAGCTCCTCGTATGTGTAGGTGAACGAGCCGGTGACGCAGGGCTTGCGGCCGCTGCACTACGCCATCTGGCAGCGGCACCTGGAGGCGACGCGGCTGCTGCTGGTGCGCGGCGGAGATGTGAACGCGCGGGATGACTGCGGCTACAGTGCTCTGCATCTCGCAGCTGAACATGGGTATACTACACGCCTGTCTAGATAAATATTGAGAGACTTTGTCTATCTTCATCCTGTCTCTTCTGTATCTAGGATATATCTTTCTTATCCCTTTGCACTTCTTTATCTATACTCATATTACTATCTGTTGCTCGCGTTTTTGCACGGGTCAAATTGTAAAAAATAGTTAAAATATAGCCTATGGTTACTCAGTGATAATATAGCTTTTAATGGTGCAAGATTTTTTTAATTCGTCCAGTAGTTTTTGAGTTATTTCAATACAAAAAGCGATGTTATTACTATTTTTTTTAATAACAGCTGGTTTTAATAAAGACAGAACAGAAACATCTTTATTGTATAGTCCTGGTGTAATTCTTAAAGCATTTACAACAGTCATCGTTAGTTATATTCCCATAATTGTACCATAGGTCCTACATATTTTGTAGTTTTTGACTCTTATGATTCGTCTTCTGCTACTGTATTTATGTTCTCTTCTGTTCTCTAGGTATACGGAGCTGGTCCGCCTGCTGCTGCAGAGCGGCGCAGCAGTGGACTACCGCGCGGACAGCGGGGAGCAGTTCCCGCGCACCACACTCTGCGATGAACCCTTACGACTGGCTATCAGGAACAAACACTATGTAAGTCATAAATTCATTGTACGGTACATATTATAGTTTTTTTTTTTTACTTATTTCAGCAAAACAGTTTTACATAATTGTGGTAACACAGCTTGGTACCATTAAACATACAATGTTTATATTGAATTTTTAGATCTTCCACAGGTGATTCCGTCTGTAAAATATATGGTCAAATTGACCAAATATGTTATTGAACAGAGAACAGTAACGTAGGAGAGTTTATGAATTCTCGTAGTCTCGAATGATAGAGCAGAATAAAACTCTCGTCTGTTCACTTCGTTAACTAATAATATTAAGATATACCAGAGAATTACTGTTTCTCGCTCAGTGAAAATGATTAAACTGTTTGTTATGGAAGAACATGACAATCTTGCACAAGTAATTATTTTTACTTCAAAGAATTTGCAAAAACAAACGAATGGTAAATAATATGTGTGATTTTGAAGTAATTAAAACTATTTGTGAAAGCGGGCACACACTGTTGACCAAATCATCGCACAACAGTTGTGCGATCGTCGATTATTTCGCTGCCTTCAACTGTTTAGTTGCACAACGAAAAACGTTGTGCTCGCCATTTAAGCTCATAGCAAAGCGAGACAACAGTTGTGCGATAGTTTGGTCAAAAGGACAAAGTGTTTTCTTTGTCAGGAGGTAGCCCGCCTGCTGCTGGACCACGGCGCGGACCCCAACAAGCGGTACTTCTTCGGCGCGGAGATCAACCTGGTGTCGGACCCGGAGTACCTGGAGCTGCTGCTGTCGTTCGGAGCCAACCCTGACTCCCGCGACCGCGCTGGACTCACGCCGCTCATGAAGGCGGCCAGGCAGAAACGGGTAAGCACAAAACGGTAAAAGGTTACTTGCAGAGGCAACAAGTAAAAGTCCCCTGCCCAAACGAGAGATGGTTTTTTTTTCATTTTTCGTGTGCTAAGTGCATGATGGAGGCCTAATTTTAGTGTACTTTCTACCCTTTTCCTAGAAAGGAAGGATGGGAAGGGAAAACGGATGACAAGTGATGAAGAAATGGCGGGAAATGGGAAGCATGGGTAGAGGATATATCCTTTTCCTGTCTCCTTCTTTGTTGATGAAAGATAACGTATATGTAAAGGCAGAGACCACTTAGCTTTTTGGCGAATTGAGGGTAGTCACTTGCTTTTTAATGTAAAAATAATATAAAAAATATCAATTACTTAGTTTAAAAATTGTTCTTTTCCATTCCAGGGTATAGAAGCAGTGCTGCTGCTGATCAGCCACGGTGCTGATGTGAACGCGATGGCCGACGCCAGAAATGATTATAGAACCGTCATGCATTATGCCGTTTTAAGTGGTAATTGTTTTTATAATATATCTAATTATGCTAATATTGTGAATGCGAAAGTTTGGATGTATGGATGTTACTGTGTCAACACGGATCTCAATGAAACTCAAAGGATTAGAACACAATCTGTAAGAACACTGACTAATTTACTTGTTTTCAATTCAGTACAGACGGAATCGCAGGCGACAGCTAGTATTATAAACTAACTAATACTTAGAAATGCGAAAGTATGAACGGATAGACGTTAAGAGCCTAAACTAGACTAACCGACAGATCTATGTGGCATATATGTAGATAGTCTGGAAGAACACTTTTCTTTTTTAATTCCGCACAGACGAAGTCGCAGACAAATGCTAGTCTTCATCTTTAACTAGCTGTCGTACGCGGAAAAAAAAAACAATGGTCAGTAGCCTATGTGTTCTTCCAAATCATCATTAAATCATTTAACAGTGGTAGTGCCCGCTTTAACATGTTAGCACTGCAGGGCACGCCCGGTGTAATACCACTACCACACAGAAGAGAGACGTCAAATGGAAGCAATTCCGTGTTTCGTCTGATGAGTGTGGTGCCGGAGGCCTAATTTAAGTCTCTTTCTCTTTACCGCCCTTTTCTTATAAGGAGAGGATGGGAAGGGGAAGTGGATTTGACGGAGGAGGAGATACATAGGAAGGGAAGATATTCTTTTCATGTGCGTCTCCTCCTCTGTTGGATAAGGGTAGGTAACGCATCACCAATTGCGGAAGTCTATGGGCAGCGGTCGCTTCGCCATTTTGGCGAATTCAGGTGGCCGCTTGCTCGTTTACCACCTTATGTTATAAAAAAAAATCTGAATCTATGCTACATCAAGATCTGTTCAATAGTTTATTATTAGTAAAATTTTATTTTTATATCAGGCAACCCCGACATGGTGAATCTAATAATAAAGCAAGGCGGGCGCGTCAACTACGCGGCGGAGCTCAACAAGCCGAGCGCGCTCGACCTCGCCATACTGAAGGGGGACGTCGCTATGGTGCGGATGCTCATGGCTGCGGGTAATAATCACATTATCACGAAATACATAAACACTTTTACATTGTTGAAATTACATTTGTATGGATAACGGGCGTAAAGTACTACAAAACCCATATCAATGACGCTACGATTATGTCGTCACTCAAATAATAAAATAAACATTTGATGAGAGAATAGATAGACCCTCTTATACTTAGTGGCGAAGTGGCGACTCTAAAAATATCCGTATAAAAGAACAGGTATTTTATACTTATTTATTTTTCGTGTTGCATTCCTTTATCTTTTAAAAAAATTGCATTGGACCTAATTAAAGATAGATATAGAATAAATAAAGGAATAAATATAATTTTCAAGCCAACTAAATTAACTATAATATAATTCTGAACAACTATCTATTTTTAAACAATATAATTGTAACTAGCGTAATGAATTTAGACACTCAGTTATGTTGATTCCACCAGAACGGCGCGATATTATACGTCTGAATGACATTGACAGTTAGATAGGGACGGACGTTTATGCCGATAATCTAGTGATGTGCCAGTCCTATAGCGCAATACTAATTTTCTTCTTAACACTGTTAAAGATCAGTGGGCGCTGGGCGAAGAGGTCTAAATAATGTTGCCATATATTAAAAATGCTACCATTTCAGGAGCGCACGTGAACGCGTCCAGCTCAGTGATCGGGTCTCCGCTGCATGTCGCTTGTTCTGACAACATCGACAACAGGAAGGAAATTGTTAAAGTAAGTAAAAATCAAGGTTTTCCTGTTTTTACCCACCTGACGCATAAGGGCAATTTTTTTGTTAGTAATTAGAATTATTTTTATGTATGTATATAGAATTCATTATAACCCCCATATGGTAGCACAAATGGTTAAACCATTTTTTGATATAACGCAAACCAGTAATTAAGTATATTGTTTGATGACAGTTGTTACTGGCGAGCGGTGCTGATCCTAACCTCAAAGTATTAAACGAGGAGGACGGCGCGCAACTGCGGCCAGCGCTGGCAGAGTACCTCGCCAGTAACGTGGAACCCAGCGCTGCTATTGTCTCGCTGCTGCTTCGTTATGGTGCACGAGTAAGTATTATAGACGACACTCGATGTTCTAGGCTAGGTCTAGATGCAGCTACCAATAACGTCTTTTTAAAGTAATTTTAATTTCTATAACATCTTACAATTTTTAGGGGGAAACCTACCCCTCTGGACTTCTTTCCACACAAACCCCACTTACCCTCTCTTCCCCTTGACCTCGACGAAGGTCATAATACGAGGAGTATCTGAATATCTTTTTTATTGAGTTTTTAAAAAAAAATGTAAAGGCGAAAATAGTCGGTTTGTCTCTGTTTCTATCACTACCATATATTTATAAATACTGGCAACACAATAAGAAATTCAAGTATGCGGCAATAATGCAACCCTAACAATATATGTTTAAACAATATTAAATTTCGTTGTTCCAGGTAATAATGAAAACTCAGTTTCGTGACCCCGACGGTATCCTGAACCACTTACAGAACGTTACCTCCGAGCAGTATGAGCACATCTTCTATATCCTTCTAGAAGCTGCTGAATCTTTTGATCTCTGCATGATAAAGAGGAATTCCACCCTTACTGCTATACAAAAAGAAGCTTTAATCGACCGAGCTAAGAACCCTATTACCTTGTTAGCTCAAACCAGAATATTCCTACGTAAATATTTTGGTACGGATTTGGTTGATATTGTCAAGACTCTGGAAATACCAGATATCCTCCACCAATACTTGCTTTTTGAATGTCGTTAAACGGACTTTATAACAATTTTGGATGTATTTTTATTGGCTAAAGACTTTCTTTAGCCGATTTTTTAATCTGGCAATCTGGGTTGCCAGGTTTGGAGCTAACTCCGCGATTTTTGGGAGAATCTCATTCGATTCGAAATTTTGACGCAATTCGATTAAGTTCGATTCAAGTATATGTTTGTATCGATTTTTATTGATTAATATTCATTTTTGTCATGTAACGCTATTTAAAGTAATTAAGAATGTCATAAAAATATGTTACTATACATTTGGATATTGTATGTTTCGCAAATTCAATTTGTTTTTTTCTACGAGAGACAATATTTCAATGTAAATGAAGAATTTGTTATAAATATTCACTTAAAAATGTATTCTCTGAAGCAATATATTTGTAATTGTTAAATAAGATCGAATAAAATTAATATTCTGATATCTTGTTAACACGCTCACTGCGTAACAGGCCGATATCGGCCTGCCGAGATACTTAAGCTGGTGCGGACAAAGAAAGCAAATTACTAGTGTGAAACGATTATCTCAGGTAACATTACATAAATATTATATATACATTATGTTTCCACAAAGTTATAGCAATTTATTATATCCTAGTGCTGGTAGAAAGACCTGCCGCGCACTGGCGGAATCATTGGGGGCGCATTTTGGCCCGCCGCCGCACCATACGAAGAATTATTATTTTACTTGCCGCAGTAAAGATGTTAAAGTGTTTTTATATTATTTAAATGTTTACCTATTCAAGATTATCGCTATTAAAATATTTTATGCTTTTAGTATTCTGATTGCACTTATAATGTGATATATTGTGATAAATTTTAGAATTTAAGACTTGTATTTGTGACTGAAGCATTATGTATCAAAAACATATGTAATTTCTCTATTATTTTAAGAGTAAATAAATGTGTGTCATATATGGTCTTTTTATTTAACACTAGCTGTTGCTCGCGACTTCATCCGCTTAGATATAAAAAATATACTCCATGATACCCACTGATAACGCAGTATTTTAACGGTAAAAGAAATGTTGATATCGGCCCAGTAGTTTTTGAGCTATTTCAATACATACAAAAATACAAATCTTTCCTCTTTATAATATTAGTATAAATGTGGTAAAGATGTTGGTGTTTGACTATGGGCTGCTTTGAGAATTTTACTTGGTAGTAGTAAATACTTTGTAATATAGTTTCTAATAAAGTAGTAGGAAATACTTTGTAAGAGAGTTCTGCACAATGGAAGGTTGTTTCGGACGTAAAATACCAAATAAAAACCTAAGACTGAAAAAGTCTACAACAAAGTGATTAAAGTGCCAATTGGATGTTTTTAAATCGTTTAGAGTCTGTTAGGAATGATGCAGCTATCGGCTTCTCTTTGTGTAAGTCCATTTAAGCCGTTTAATTCAGTCCATAATAACTAGTAGTTGTTAGTTCACTATTATTAAGTAATAATAAAAATGTTAGTTACAACAAATTTATTTCTTTGGTTTTGATAACATACAAATTTAAAAATGAAAGAACTACTTCGAAAATGACGGATCAATTTAATGTTCCTATAAATGACCTTTCTAACTGTGAAAGAATATTTTAAATTGACCCAATAGTTTTCGAGTTATTTCAATAGATATAAAAATACAAATCTTTCCGCATATTACTATAGATAAAATGTTCTCGATATCAAGTTAGGGAATTCCGAAAAGATCTGAAAATTTTAATTTTTATAGACATGATAAAAAAAAAAACAATGAAACCATATTCATTAGAATCTCCACATTTATGAATCATTTTCTAAAAGGAGAATGTAGTTGCAGACCAGTGGTATCGATACGAGCTACATTGTCCCATCTCGTAGAGTTCCAAAATGGCGATTATCAACTAGGCACATAATGTCATGTGTAATCGCCTGCCCATTAAAATGTTAATGTTTTTATGGTTTTGTTTTAGATTTGGTGATTGTTAAAATGCTGAACAAGTTGATGAAAAGGGTCCATAGGAAAGAAGATTTGTTTTGAAATCAAACTGTGTTGAAACATATTCACATGGCAACACTGTGAACAATGACTTTGAATTTCGCATGCGTCTAATTGTCAAATTATTTCCATAACAACTGAATTTTGTAAAGAAGTTTTCTGTGATTTTCCTATCGAATATAACAAAGTTAATTGAATTTTAAGACATTCTCTATTAACAATGACTGACAAACAAAAGGTGGATCTTGGTCTCTTAGAAGAAGACGATGAATTTGAAGAATTCCCTACCGAAAGTAAGCAATTTTCAACCGACTAAAATTGTGTTTGAATTTGTTACTAAATTTCCTTAAAATTTATCAGATTGGGGCACAGAAGACGCTGATGATGAGGAAGTATCCGTTTGGGAAGATAACTGGGAGGACGACGTCGTTCAGGACGATTTCAATCAACAACTGAAGTGAGTAGTTTTGGGTTATTTTTCGCGGTATAATTTAACTTTGTATAATAAATAAAAAGCGCTCTTTAACGTAAATTGTTATATTAAATCTCTAATTTATACCGTCTGTTTTCTTAATCATTAGCCAGCAAATAAATTATATTCTATTTATATTTCAGGCAACAATTGGAAAAGTTGAAAGAGAAAAACAAAACGTAAATGCATCCTCAGTTTTAGGTTAATGTTTATTTGTTAAATTCTTTTCAAGGACCATCTTAACCAATTGTTGGATCTTTTTAAAATAAATGTGAAATACAATTTTTAAAGTTGAATACATTTTCTAATAAGATCATATGTTGTTTTATTTTAATATTAACTAACCAAAAAGAAACTAAAATTATTTCTTCAAAGTACTCAGTGCTCGGCTAAGTACACCTATTTGTAATCTATGGAGGTTACAATTGTTCAGAAAAATAAAATGCTTTTGACATTTTTCTCATGTCAAATAACCAAACTAAAAATGCCTTATGTTGGAGTTTTTATATGTTTGTATACTGGCAGGCAACACTTTACA